ATATCCTATTTACAAACACTATTAGAACAAATCCCTCTATTCATTAAAAGAATGTAACTATATATCTATCCTAACCATTTTGAATACACATATAGAAAGTGGACATTCATTTATATATCCCTTTTTTGTTTAGTTCCATCACTTGAATATTATAAGTGTGTTAACTCAGCAAAATATTCTAAAAGAGTCCAGTAGTCCATAATAGTATTGGGTCTTCCACTTGACTGGCAATGTCAGAAATTGTTGACCTGAGTCCCCTACAGCTCAACATAACAGCATGGCTTTACTTCTTATACTTCGTTTTTATACTTTTCTGCTGGATGGTTAAGACCAAGGTAAAGCAGGACCTATGCAACAAAAGTTGTAGATTTGGGTCTGATAAGGTCAGTGAAATCCCCTCAGGATTTATCCTGAGATCCTGTACCTCAGATTATAGATCCTTTGTCAGTGTCAGCCATGTGGATGAGTCAAGGCCATTGCTTGGCCAATGTGCTCTCTGTGAAAGCCTGAGAGATTGTTTTCTCTCCATGTGACTCTCCTTAGGCACACTCTACATCATTGATCACTTTCCTCTTTGGCCCCATAATCTCCTTGATCAGAAAATTTGGGACACTACTGAGTTACATGACATTACAGTACAAGTTCTCATATGTCCTGAGTCTTAATTGACCTTAGAAGGCTAGGGCCAAAATGTTGGCTTTCCTTGCAGCCCTCCTTTTTCTCTAATTTTGATCTTCAAACTTAGGTTGTTAATCATCCAGAATCAAGCTTATTGTTATTACCATACAGCACAAGTTCTCATATGTCCTAAGACTTGATTGACCTTGGAAGGCTAGAGCCAAAATGTTGGCTTTCTTTGCAGCCCTCTTTTTTCTCTAATTTTGGTCTGCAAACTTAGGTTGTTAACCCTCCAGAAGAGAAGCTTATTGTTATTACCAAGTTTATACTCTTGGAACTGACTTAGAGGAGTACCCAAGTCTCAGAGGTAGACAGGATGGTGGGAGGGCTCTGACTGTAGCCCCTTTTTCTTGGCTAGCAAACATGCTCCTCTGAGCTCATCAGGAACAGACCTTTGCTCTCCTTCCTAAGGAGTATCTTGCCATACTTGGGCATGGAAATCATTGCAATAAAGTGAAATTCCAAGATCTTTCTGCTGCTCTTACTGATGTCTCAGTGAACTGAAAGTCAATCACTTTGACCTCAGGTTATCTATTCATGGTGAGAGAAAACACTTGCTTTTTCTCAGCCTGATTCTTACCCAAAAATGAACATAAATGTACACTGATAGGTGTGGAGTTTTGATCTGGCATAAGTAGAAATCATAGGCATTTTCCTAACGTGCTGTATGATTCACTTCCACCACCGAGGCATTCTGTAACCGAGAGGAAGAGAGGTTTCCTGTGGCTCACACGTTCAGCCCATGGTCTGCTAGCTCCAATGTAGAAGTAGCCTCCCAGAAAGGGCTGGGGGGAGAAGCAGTGCACATCCAGCAGTAGCCAGAAAGCAGAGAGAGAAGGGAGGAGCTGGGCACCAGAATGCACCCTTCCAGGCCACGCCGCCAGGAATCGTCACCCACTAAGCCCCACCTCCTTCCTTACAGCACCTGCAGGTACTACATCATCAATGGGCAAACCACTGAGGAGCACAGAGCCCCAATCACCTACGCATGCAGGAGGCTTCTGGGAGACTAAACCATAATGTGCATTTAATGGGGAGATCTTGAAGTGGCAGTTGACACCATTATTACTTCAGAATTATAGACTTGCTGTTAAGCCTGTTACTTAAAGCATTCACAAAGAAGCACATTTATTACCATCTTGCTAGGTTTACTTAAAGAACTTTATTTTAATATTTGCATAATCCTGTACGATCACATATATTTTATTTGTGAATTTTGTTTTGAAAAGAAGGCCATAGTTTTGGCCAGACACAAGAAAGCCCCATGCTTCAAAAGTGTCTGGAGCTAGGGACTGCACTGATATTTCTTAAGAACTTTGATGTAGACCACCTTTAGATTATGATTATTTAAATTGTTGAACAATACAAATAACATCTTTTCTGGCAGAAGATGTCAAAATAACATCTTTTTAAATGAAAGACGAAGAATGACTGCTATGGCTTGTTTCTAGATGTACCCCCAAAGCCTCACATGATCGTAGGTGGCTTGTTGTAGGGTATGTGACGCTGGGATTAAATTGTGTGATTCTGGGATTAAGTATGTGACACTGGGATTGAGGATGTCCTACCCTAGGTATGAGTGTTAGCTTCTCTACGGCTGGATACCCCAAGGGCGGGTGACCTGAGTGGAATATAATAGGTAGGAAGAATGCTGCTGCTGCTGCTGCATTTTGCTATTTTGCTGCCTCATTGTGCCTACCATGAACTATTTCTCTTCTGTGATGAGCCTCTATGATGCCACCTGCCTTGGAGCTAGCCAAGTATGAACTCAAATGTCTGCAAATTGTGGTGCGAAATAAATCTTTCCTCCATTAATATTGGCTGTTGGATAATGTCTCAGAAACACATGAAGTAGCTAAGACAGCAGCTTAGAAGTAGTATTACCAAAGTTAATTGTAAATGCTTCTACAACTGAAGTTTAATTAACTAAAAGTACTGTGATTTGGGTTTCTTGAAGACTAATTTAGTGCCTTCCAAAGCTATTTAGCTGCCATAATATTGCTTTTCATTGTTGTTTTGTGTAGCCTTGGAAACAACAGGGACTTTACAATTTGAAGAAAGATACCTTTTCAGTAGTACAGAAATCTTATCTCAAGTTGGCCTTAATAGTTAATTACTGCTTTTCTAATTGCATATATAGCTATACTCTTGCATATAATCTATGTATCATTTGGAGTTTATGATTACTTCATTGTTACCATTTATTTTTCTTCTCCAACTCATTCCCTACTGCTGATTTCCTTAGCTATTAGAAATAAGAACATTTTGGGACTGCAGACCTTAGTGTCCTACTGGCTATAAAAAGTTCTCAACACTTTTGAGAATCATTTAACCTACTGAATACTTACATTCCTTTCTTTTGATTCACTCTGATTATTTTTTTAGTTCTATTCTATTCCAAGCTATTATGATCTGTTCTAATCTAGTCATAAGCAAAAGTATTAAATCAGAAGTTTAATTATTAAATCAAAAATGATAAATTTCAGGGAACAAACTGAGTCATGAGACAGGAATTTCAAAGAAGATTGAGAAGACAGTCAAAGAATGCTTAGATTCGTCCCTCAACTCAAACAAAGGAAAGGTTAAGTTTCTTGGAAAAGAATTTATGAGGAAGATTTCTTTAAATAGATCATTGCTATTGGCAAAGATATAAAAATGCTTGTTTCTTTATCCAAATAAAGAGAAGTGAGTTTCCGGGACCTTTGAAGGGGCTAAATCTAAGAGGACACTGGGAATGGAATCTGGTTCCTACCTGAGATATCTGAAGGGCTAGATGGGAGCAGATGAGTCCAGCCTAGGCTGTGTGAGATCAGCCTGTGGGGACAAATGTCCGAGGGAGGGGAGAGTTGCACACTCATGCTTGGAAGGTTGATGGGACCTCCGCAGTCAGAAGCTGGAGATGAACTCTCCAATTTCCATGGGCTCCAGACATTGTAAAGAAACCAGAGTTTGTTGTGTCTCTGCAAGCTGTTGAGAAGTCGCTGAAGAGCTCATGAGCATGCTCACAGAAGAACAGGTCAGCTCTGCCAGCTGCCTGTCGGTCTAGAGAGTGCAAAGCTGTGCTTCAAAGTGAGGGAAAGGTGGAAACCTGGCTCTTCCAGCTGCCTTGCATGAGTTCAGGAACATGAAGTAACCACTTGCAGGAAACAAGTAATGAAACAAACAACAGTGCTACACACACACACACACACACACACACACACACACACACAGAATGTTTTGGTTGTGTGACAAACCTAAGATGAGAAAGAAATGTTACCTTTGTTTCCAGCATGTGATGTGTGACCAGACCTTCTAATGTCTGAGTTGAGACTTTGGCAACTTTACACAATGAAGGGATGGCTTTTCCTGTCTAAGACTGATCAGAAAAGTCAGAGGATGGAGCTGCCCAACATTTTCATCTTAGAACAGAAGATCTGTTTACCCTATTGAATGTATGTGAAAAATACCTACCCTTGCTTAGTGACAGGGCCTGTACCTTCTCTATGACCATTACCTCTACAATCTCAGTAACAACCCACCACAACAACACCAGCACAGTCTTACAAAATGGACTGGATGGAACTATGTCAGAGTTCAGTGGTGCAAAGTTCAGTTGTTAAAGTATCTTCAGGTAAAGTTCAGGCAAGGAAAAGCATTACACCATAACTAGTCTCCTGAAGTATTACGGCATTTTGAAGAACTGACTTAAATGGTACTTGCTGCCTATTTTGTTTACTTTGTATATTGTAAGATTCCTTTATCACTACATTTAGCTTTATAATTGTATCTTTAATCATTTCTCTGCAGCTTCTTCAGAAGTGTTGGAACATTTGCCATGGTAGTGTTTTTATTTAGATTGATACAGAAAGGGAGTGATTCTAAGGGTATAAACTTCATGAGCATATTTTTACATATTACTTTTCCTGAATTACTACTAAACTCTTGTTACCCCTTGTTTTAAATTCCTTTCAACTGATCAATGTGTGATAAAGACACTGATCATTAGAGGGCTTGTTGAAAAGAACTCATTTCAATTCAATATATACCAGGATATAAATGTACCTGGGAACATTTATTAAGTGATGCCTCATCTGTATCATTTTGTATTCCCAGATGGAATTCCAGCTTCAAAAGTTACATAAGCATTAGAAGATAATTTATTATGCTCTGGACACCCACAGACCAAAAAGAAAATATTTAACATCTTCAGAGAAATGTGCTACAAAAATCCACTATAAAATAATGTCTTCAACACTTTACAAATCGCTTTCATCGCCTGGTGTTCTTAAGCTTCCCCAAGGCCAATTTATTTTTTTGTCTGTATTTCCATTTTTTTTTAGGTGAACACGATCTTCATAAGAACTCAGAAGACTTATCAAATGCTGAAGAAAAACATGCTGACACACAGCCATAGGTCTGAAACACCTTAAAGGCTTCTGTCATTTTAAACATGAGAGGTAATTTTATGTTACTAGATGAGCAACTTAATTTCTAAAATGAATGGTTAACAGAATGCCCTTAGAGACCAAGGTATCCTCTTTAAATTCTGTTTTCATTTCCTTTTTTATCAATCAGTAAATTACTTACCAGGTAAAATTTAGACGTCCTCCATAATAATTACATTTACTGTTAATGAGCTGTTGTGTATGTGAAAGTTCAGTTTTTGACTTATGTATGAATACAAAAGGTTTACACTGGTTTCTGTTTTTATTTTGTGTAACAAATATGAATGTTCACCCTTGTTGGTGAAAGAAGAGTAATGGCATGTCAGGAAACAAATACTGTGACCATGTGCATTAGTAGTGCTTCTTTTAAAAGTTTGGTTCCTGGGAATTCCTTTCAGTCAACCAATTTATTAGCTGTGGGAGTGATGCCTTGGAAATCTGAAGTTTGAATAAACCCAACTATTGATACATGTATTTCTGCTCCCTAAAATTGAAAGACTTCTTAGGGCCTGGTGAGTTGGTGCAGGCAGTGAGAAAGAAGGGGTATCAGGCATAGTAGAGATGCTTCATGTCTGTCAGGAAACATAAGAAACAAAACACCAGTATTATAATGGTGCTTTCTGTTAGGGTGGTGGGACAAGAGAAAATGCTAAGGCCACCATGCCAAGCCTTTGAGATGTTATAAATAGTATTCTGGGGTTACGTGGACAGTTGTGAACCAGCCACCAGGGTGGCCATCTTTCAGGTATATCTCAGTGAATCCTCACTGCAAGTCCATAGTTAATGATTATGGCTCCTACTTGATATATAACTTGGAAAGACATCAAGCTACAGAGTGACTCTTCAGCAACTAAAATTCATCTCCATATTTAGCAATTGTAATATAATGTTGAAAATTAGCCATGCGCTGTCCATAACCTCCATTGAAAGTACATAGGCACTACATTTAGAGTCCATGGTCACTTCAGAAATGGGTCCTGCGGGTACATATTGAGCCCCTGAAGAATAATTTAGGGAAAACTAATGCAGTAAAATGTTATAAATATTTTATGTAACAAAGGCTATTGTTGGCAAATAAGTATCACAATCCAGCTGAGTAAACCAAAATTTAGCAGGAGAGGATACCTAGCCAGGGTACAGCGGACACTTTCAAAAGGAAAGAAAAGAACTTTAGGATCAGCGCTTTCTAAGCAATTCATACTGCAGACCTCAGATATTTCTAAATTTCCTCAAATAACTATACGAAATGCAGATTATCAGTATATTTGTGAAAATGACCACTCAATGTGTTTAAAGTTTTTTTTTTTAAATTGGGAATAAAAAAGATACACAGAAAGACATATACACAGCAAAAATAGGAAATGGAGTTCTAACTGATATAAAACCAATATCTATTATATACTGATAAATCCCTTATTTTGACAAAGTATGTCAAGTAAAATGTAAAATTGTCACCCAATAATCAATGCCTATATATAACTCATGATCTTTATTTTTCTTTGTATTTTTAATATATATGTATATATTTATTTATCACATATTTTGCTTTAAATATATATACCTACTGGAACAGTTATATTGATTTAATTTGCATATATAATACA